TACTAGGTCCGTGCTTTACGACTATTATAGAAATAGACGTAGTACCTGTACATATTTTATTACTAGCCATAATTTCATAAACACTGGATTATATTATACAACTTTTTAGTTTTTATACATTCGTAATAATATAATAAAGACTAATGTGCATGTGCATCTACTACAGTACCTACTGTTTAATTCTATAATCTATTTCTCTATGTATAATGTATGTAATAACTAATATGTATGCATACTGCATAGTATCATTGATTATATATACTATAGTCTATAGTATATATAATCAATGATAGTACCTATATTAGTATGTTATAATATGGTTATTATGATTATTGATTATCATTTATCATAATTCATAAGCATTGTATGTTTTTCATTATTTTTATAGGTTACAGTGTTATTAATAAATAAGTTAATTGTTTAATGTATGTTTATTTTTAGTAACTATATTAGTATTTAGTACTATTTACTGAGGTACCTATTTACTTATTAAACTTAATGATCACATTACAATAATTTATGTCTGAGTAGGAAATAGGAATAATAGGATTAGCATCAACAATAGGAACAATAAAGAACATAGAGAATATAATAATCTTAAGAGGACGCTACCCATACATTTGTTGTCTCCGTCTTACACACTCACGACATAGCAAATAGTTTCAATAGTTTGCTGTTAGTTTTGATACCAGAGTGAATTGACCTATTATATAACATTTAGGTAAGAACATTATCTGTGCTTAAGCGTTGCCAATTTTTCGAAATTTCCATTTTCAAGCAAGATTTGGGAAATATCAAAAATTAAAAAAGCTTATATCTAGCTTGAAAATTAAAATATCGTATAAAAGCCAACGCTTAGTCACATAAAATGTTATTATCTAAAAATTTGATAATAGGTCAAATCACTCTAATATCAAAAATAACAACACACTATTGACTATTGAAACTAGTGATTGAAAATTTGCTATGTGGTACTTGTGTAAGACGGAGACAACAAATGCATGGGTAGCATCCTCTTAAGTTTATATACATTTATATAATACTACCTATTTTTATTTATATATCCGAAGACCGAAGTTAAATTTATATGTAATGGGCACTAGCCACTGGGTAGTGAGCGTATCGATTTAGCTGTTCTTAGTACTATTATAATATAATATATTTATATTTATATAGATATGATTGCACGAATGTACGATTTACCTAATGTATTATTATTATTTAGCCATTAATTAATAAAATACATAATATTATGTATAATTATATAAAATGTATAATTATATAAATAATACCTCCTAATCACCTAAATCGTAAATAATATAAATATTACTTTCGTAAATAGGTTAAATCAATATTACAGGGTTTAAACAATTATTTAAATATGTTAAATTGTATTTAATCCAATATTTTATTCAGTTTTTTTTAAAAATAATATACGTTGAATTTAAATTAGAAAGTTAACAATTCTCGTCTACCGATTAATATTTATGTTGACTAATATTTTAAAAAGATATTCATGGCATTTTATGGAACAAATAGTAGATAAGTCACTAAGCTTATTTGTACAAAATATGGTAATAGTTAAATGTCATGAATATTTTTTTTTACAGAATCATTGCTAAACGTTTCGTTTTATCGGTTCAATAACTATGAAGGTTTTTTTAAACTCAACTGAAAGATATAAATTGGTGTCAACTTAAAAATAGGCTTTTAGACAATTTGTTACACCGATTATTAATGATAAAATATAATCCACCGTGGATGTTGATAGCATTGTTTAAAAACTATATCGGCTTATGTTTTATAAGCTCAAACATTCATTCAAACATACAATCCCCGCTGGTCGCTATAATTGCTACCTATTACCTATAGGTTATAGGTATTGAAAATTTAGCTCGTTGCTAATTTCCGTCATTACAATCTGACCTTCTTTCCTTGACCTATTGTTTGGTTTGAATCTCTTCCCAACACATTTAATTATAAATTATAAATTTAATTTTTTGAAATAAATAAGATATTTTTATAATGTTAGTGAAAATGAACAGATGGCACCTGATTATATGATATTATTGTGAATAAAGTAATTTATATAAAACCTATTTACGTAGAACCTTGTTTTAAATTTTTAATCCTTAACTGTAAAAGTTGAATATTTTATAAATTTTTAACTACAAAATAATTATTAAATTTTGAATTTAGTCATAAATCGGACTTTTAATGCTTACAAAAAAAAAATTGTAATTTTGTGTTTTAAATATATTTCAATTACTATTGTAATAATATATCAGGAGCCTTGTATTAAATTTCCACGCATTTTGGTCCAACAAACAAAACTTTATTGATATTTATAGAAAAAAATTTAAATTTGAAATTTTCTGTAAACAGCTTAAAACACGTCAAAATATTTTGTAAATATCAAGTATAGTCTATAGGAATTGATAAAATAAACATAAGCTATATATATCAAGTGCAGTCTATACTCTACGGTTATTTGTTTTTGAATTACAACAAAATAAGAAGATCGCTACATGAGAAATCAATTGAATATCAATAAAGACCCGGGATCGTAGTAGTAAAAAGTAAAAACCTTGTCAGACATACACCGCTTGTTTGCTTACCTGCAGTAACAACACCTTACGGCTTACCGTACTAACCTTACCAAGTACCAACCATATTTCATAATCCCCTACAACAGCTAATAGCCATTGTCACCGGGCTTAAGTTCAATAAAAAAAAATAAACAAATAAATATATTTAATATAATATAATTATATAAATATTTATATATATATACGTGCATAGGTATTTACTGCCTATGACCGTAGTCCGTATGTATGCGAGACGCGAGTGGAAAAGAGACGAGTGGAAAAGACACGACAACCATAATAGTTTGAATAACATGTCCAATGTCCATGCACGTTTAAATTATATTTCCTTAATGCATTATTCATGTAATATAAAAAAACCTCGCTAAATAACCGTCACTGTAGCAACTAGTAACATAAACGTTGTGTTTTTATTTTTTTTGTGCAACCATGTAACTACGCCCTATTATTAATGACTGCTACCAAACATATAATGTTGTACCTATCCCATGAGCCATGGCTGCTGGTAGTTGATAGCTATATAAATAGCATAAAAACATATTATTGTACACAACATATCCGTAGAAAATAAATGCACAACAATACATGATTAAAAATATTAAGTGATATTTATAATATTATTCTTCTCCTAGAACTATTATTAACTACTATTATTATTGTAAAAACAATGGTTCTGTATATACAGGTAGGTATTGATTTTTTAAATTAAAATAAATGCGCTTATGAAGAGAAAGTTATTAAAAACCAAACTGTATGAACGCGTAGGTAGTTGAATACAATTTATTATTCATAAAACATACCTATCCGTCATAAAAATGATAAAACACATAATATATCATGTAGGTATTATCATAAAATTAATAAAATTATTTTAGGAAAAGGTTAAATTATTGTTAAAATAAAGTACCAACAATGTATTCTTACACGATTACCTATATTAATAAATTAATCACATCGATTTATTTTGTTGAGTAGGTAATATAGGTATGTTAAATTGTATATATAAATAATATATAGGTACTTATTTTAATATGGATTTAAAATCCAAATCACAACATTAGATTTATAATTATAAAAAACAACATGATACATTTCTTTTAAACAAATATTTTAAATTAGTTTAATATTAGGTACCTCAATTATACATAATATAGGTATTCCTTAATAATACTATTTTACTATTTTAGTTATGTAGGTACTTGATTTAAACAGGGATTTTTTAATTTATAATTTATCACTAATATAAATATTTCAAGAGGTATTTGCGTATTGCGAATTGCAATTTATCTATAATAATAATTAATATATTATGTATAGATAAACTATAAAGTAATGATTAAAATTAATTGATTAATTTTTTAACATTAGAAAAACTATTCAGATTCCAGACATGATAATATATTATACTTATTATTTATGAAGTGTGGTTTTTGCATTTTTATTAATAATATATTATATATTATATTTACTTAAATACTTTTTGTTGATAACTAACTGTTAATTTATTATCTGATAAAACTTAAATATAAATTTTATAAAATAAACAAAATTTGTATTTATATTTTGTATGACGTATATAAATCATGCTTAGACTTTCGTGGTGTATAACTGTATAATTAATAACTATAGCCAGTAAAATAGGTATGGAAATTGTAAAATGTAAGTATCTATAAAGAGATACACGGGGCTTCATAAATCTGATATTTCTGAGGAAATCGTATATTAACTATTGAAATAACTTTAAAGTTTCACACTTGTTTGTTATTAAAAATAATAAAAAAAATACACATACTCTAGATTAGATTATACAATTTATTTATACTATAATATTTCAATACATTCTACATGCGTTGATCTACCTAAAAAATACACATATTATTCAGTGATCGGAGGGATTTGCCTTTTCAGAAAAATGTAATGTTCTGAAGATGGAGGGAGTTGTCTTTGGTTTTGTAAATAAACCTATTTTTTAGATAATGTCAGTCCCCCCTCTACAAAATAAAGTCAACTTATATAAAAATATATCCTTATATATAGGTATATATATTCCTATACATAAAATACAATATTTAATTTCTTTTATGTCTCCAAAATTGAGCATGTTTTAAAATCATTGGAATTTAAAAATGCAAGTTCAAAATATAGACTATGGATTTAAAAAATCCTTAAATGAATATTTGATTCAAGAGTTTTTAAAATTTCATATTTATAAAATTTAAACAAATCAATTTTTAAAGGATTCTGCTTATCTTCTATATACCTATGAGTCGTTTTTATACTTACCTATTAAGTCTTAAATAGTATAAGATACAACATTAATTATTAATTATAATATTATACAACTAGCATATAAATTCATATTTACATATTCATATAATTTAAATAAAAACGCTTTTACAGTTCAGGCGATGTTGATTTTCTTTTTACATATCTTGCAAAATAATCTGGTCTCCAGCATTTGCAACTTCCAGGAATCAAAAACCAGTCATAGTAAAGTCTCACCTAAAAAAAAAAAATTTTGTTTATTTCCAATATAATATTATTTTGTTTGTTAGTTAAAAATATGTTTTTGTACCTACATATATTATAAAGTTACTTCGGATAAATTAAAAAAAAATAATAATTTACCAAACCTTACTAATTTTTTTTTAGTTTTATGATCATATTTAAGCAACCACCCAAATTAAAATAATGCATATTTAATTTAAAACCAGCTGATTGTAAAAATAAAATAAAATTACCCAAGATTTTGTATAGTTTATCAAAAAATACTTGCTTGAAAACATCCGAGTTCGTCAATACCGTCACAATGTGGCTTTTTCTTCGATGTCGAAGTAGATGATTGGGAGGGCAAAGGGTCAGGAGCACCTTGAGTAGCACGTTTATGTAAATATTGCTGGTAGTTTTGAAAGTCTTGTACTGAAGGTGGATCATCTCCTTGTGCCTGTGTTCTGTACATACCTTGTTGTTGTGGTGGTACTGGCAATCTTCGATTGTTAGAAGCAGATGGTAAATAAGTGTCTGGATAGTAAACCTCTGCAACCAACAGGCTTACCCATCTCGGTGATGACAGACATCCTCCCTCTATGTAATGACATTTAGTTTGACTAAGAAGGAACCACATATTTTATTAATGAACATATTATATACCTACAATATTATTTAGTATATCTATAGTGTTTTATAAAAATAAGGGTACTCTAACACAATGATTTCATTTTTAAACTTCTTATTTTTCATAAATACCTATTTATATAGTATTATTTACGTTGAAAATTGTACGTACGTGCACTTAGTCACCTCTACGGTTTGGGTAAAATATCCTTCGTACGGAATTTGCACTACATATCGCCACATACCCTGGTAGTTCCGCGCAAATACTGGTGTAGCATATTCTACCTTGGCAGGACAGGGAGTGGGTGGCCCATCCATAACACTACCAGCAGCATGAACCGGGTCACGTGTTCTATATTCTAATTGTTCAGTTCGCCGTTGAGCCATAAGTCCGGACAGTGCTTGTCCTTGTATTACTTTATAGAGCATGCAAAATCTGAAGTAAAAAAATAACATGACAATTGACAATTGTAAACATTTTTATAAGAATAGACAGTCATATAATTTTCCTTTTAATGAAATTAGAAATGTTCTCTTATACTTAAGATATATAAATTAAGGTCAGTGTTCACTATAATAATTGTCTTATAACTCGCTAAGTTAACTATAGTTAAACACATATCAAAAGAATAACTCAATAAGTTATAATTATAGCTATTATAATTTATGGAAAAAAATACCTTTTATAATTTAATAAGAGTTAAGTTAAAAATTTAACTTTTACATTTTATTCTCGTTTATTATTTATTTGGAAATAAATTGTTTATTTTATTTTTCAACAATAGTACAAACGTAACACTCCAGTGCAGTCATACTAAATTCACATTTCGGGTTTTCTACATTAAACTAGATGGAACTAGCCGAACTAGGACACGCTATACGACATTAATAACGTCTAATAACTCTATATATTAATATTATTCTAACATGACGTAATGTCCATAGCACTATTTTGATTCATCGAAATAAAAACTTCAATAAATCACTACTATAATTTCTACCTATAATCTACCTATAATTTCTTCTTACTGAACTAGATAATAGTTATAAATAATGTACAATATAATAACATATGTATAAAATAAATAATAATAAGATATATAAGTACCTATATAATAATAAGACTAAATATATTATTTTAATTTTTCTTCTTATAGTAAATAGACAATAGTTTTTATGTAATCTTTTTATAATTTATATTAATAAAGATTTAATTTTTTGTTTGCTGGTTAGTGATCGATCACATATTGTCAGTAATATTAAAATTATAACCACACTTAAAAATTTTAAAAATTTAATTTTAATACAAATAATATTTTAATTCAACTTACACTCCACCGCTGGTGTCACAAAATTTTCTTGAATGTCTAGTACTATTTTGAGAATTTATAGGAACATCTTCGTCGTCCATGTTTACATCATCAAGAGAATCTGTATTTGTGTACTTAGCTCTTCGCCGAAAAGGTTTTCCTCTAAACAAATTAAGAATAGGCACATATTATAAATTAATGTGTCTGTAGACTATAGTTATTTATTTATTATCATCTGTTTTTTTTTTATTATGAAACAAATTCTCGGCAGCGTGGCCATTAGGATATCTTATATGATTATTGTACATATGCTTACTGTAAGTATTTTTGGGTCGTACTACTTTGGTAATACGATTCAGGTGGCACATATTTGGCTACTTTTGGTATAGTTTCGTCTGCTTTGAGTATTGGTAATGTTCTGCTGAAGAATTCTAATGTTTTATTCTTCACTAACTCACTAAAAAGATTTTATCATTATATTCTACATAATATACGTACGTTGAAACTTGAAAATGACGAATGCGGTCATGCGCAGAAATAAAATTAAAATATTCAATTATATAACACTCACAACGGGTATGGTGATCCTAAAACGTTTTGCTTCATTGGGTTCACTGGCAAAAACCCTTTATTGAGATCTCCGCATAGATTATTCAATGTTTTTGCTGATGGATTCTTGTTGACCCCTATAATATATGAACAGTGTCATTTCAAGTTTTGTTTTATATTGTTATTTGGTACACTATTTAGTATTTACTACAATGGTTAAATAATATATATAGTATATACAGTATAGAAACACGATTATTTTTACGAAATGCGTGACTACAACATAGCCACATAGGTGAGAATTGTAGAGTTCGTACTTCGTGCTACAGGTACCTACCTACAGCCTAAATTATATTATAAATAATTACAATAATAAGTATATAATTTTTACCTGGACACAATTTGTTAGATTTGAAGTAAGGTGGAGAACGGACTTTAGGTGGTTCCATTCTGGGAGCTTCGATAAAAGCATAATAACCTTCGGGAGGTTCTTGCCCAGAATCAACCGTAGACGAATCTGTTGATGAAAATGTTTGTGGTTGATGTACAACAGCTATGTTTCTCGGAATGAGAAAGATAGCAATGCAAATGAACTAAAATTAATAAGAATAAACATAATATTGTGAATCAAAATGATTAGGTATAAATCAACAACAATGTAGAACACCTATATAATAATTAATAACTAATTATGCTATATGAAAATATCCAAAATGAAACAAATATATTCCAGTAAATAGGTTCAAACGAAAGATTTTATTATTATAATATATAAATATTAGGTAAATAAGTATATTTATATTTTATTTTTTTATATATATAATTATAGTTGGTAGTAATAATAGTGTAATACCTATATTATAGTGAAATACCTATATTACATATATATTAAATATATTTCATATTATTTCTCGTTACATTTTCGATAATTCGTAATATAACCTCTTTAAATTAGTAATCAATTTCCAATACAGAGATTAGAGAGGAGCTACATGAATGTGTTTAGTATTTTACAAAACAATCAGTAAAAACACCACACAAGCTTAATTTTAAAATCATTTAAATGATTGATCCACTCATAATTTAAGTATAGAAAGGATGATCGCAGATACCTACTCTTCTAGAGTGCTTAAAAATTGAGTGCTTTATTGGCACTATACGAAACTAATAGTACCTACATATAATCTATTCGTAATTCGTATAGGTTATAGGTACCCACTTAAGATCAATTTTACATTTTTACCTATAGCTTATAGGTACTTACACTATTTCGAAAACCTAAAGATTCTATTGACTATATCGTCTATATCTAATACCTTTATTTCGTACTATTGTGCAGACGAATATGTTATAATGGTGGCCTATTTTATACATGATCATGTAAATATTTAAAATGGACATTTCACATAATTTACGTATCAATCATTTTATTGGCTACACATTATGATTGAGCATGATGTATTGACTATAGGTATCACATTTCTGCACAAAAAAGTATAATTTTTTTTAATATTATTATTGAGTGTGTCGGATTCAACAGTCATTTGACATCGAATGTATGAGCATACCTATCGGCTTCTATATAACGGCTTTATATATTTTAGGTACCTACCTATATCGTATATGTACGATACATCAACAAAAAAGTACATTGGTCATCGTTGGTCAGGCATATTGATGTCTATTTGCAAGGTATATAGTTCCATTGTTCGTAAGCAATTTAATCTGGAAACCTACTTTTCCTTTTTTTATTAAATAGAAAACAAATAAATTTAGTGAAAAAATATGGAAAGAAAATTGTTTTTTAAGTACCAAACCTATACCAATAAGCTGAGAAGTAATAATGTTATTTTAAATAAGGAAAAAATAAGATTCAGTAGTGCACTACTTGGCATAATTAAATCTTCAACTGAGCATTATACCATGACGACGTGACCACGAGGAACACAAGACTGGGTCAAAAAGAAGACGGTACCGTTAGTAATAAGTTTTGAGTTTGCTACTTTTTTAAATAACTAAATAAAATTAATAAAATTGAACGATACACAAGTTAATTTATTTCGTAAGATAAATTAGTTTATACAATATAAATAAAGGCATATATTTAAATCTTAAACTATAAAATATAAAGTGTACCTTTATTCGGGTATTGACTACTTTAATACTACAAGTTACAACAATATTAAAAAAAGAGTTACTATCATAATGATAATATCATAATAGTTACCTTATCGTCTTAAAATGTTGATTTAAGATCAATATCAGCTAGTTATAAATAAATATAATTTAAAAAAATTAAAATAACACGTTCAGTCTACTTCAGAAGTTATTAGTCAAAATGAGTATAACACTTGTTCATTTTTAATACCTATACCTACTTTAATATTTTTTAAATAATCTAATGCTTAAATATTGTCTTGGCTTTTGTATGTACATATATAGTACATATGCAGTTGCATTTTACTCAATAACTTATAGATTTATTTTAGATTTTAATTTATAAGAATAATGTATTTATAGACACTGATCACTGAAATAGCGTTTGCCCTGTCCAAAGGAAGAATAATCAAATAAACCTTGACGAATTCACGTAACAATCTCCATTAATCTGTGGAACGATATATTTTATCCATGGTGGATCAGGAGTATTTGCAAACATTAGAGTATTAGACCATTTAATTGAATTCATTTTGTAACTTAAATTAACAAAAGATCTTATACAACTCTATTTACCATTGTAAATGGCTGTCTGTATAGCATTACCTACACATCGTGTTACTAGGTACCTAATAAACAATTACGAATTATTGGCTATGTATATAGATTATAGGTACCAACTTACTTTACAGTTTTTTTTAAATATTCTATTATGCTTTAAGCCATACAAATTTTTAATTTATTAATATACATTGAGGTAAGGGTTAGTTGTAACTTATTAATTATTTGGTATCATTTTACAGATTTCAACTCTTAAAGTTACTATATTATGGGTTATATACTACTATACTTAATACTTATATAGGTACATACCTATATACTTATACATTTATGATAATATTTAAGGAACTAAATAAAATAATATATTAGGACATTAGGTAATAATTATTTAAAATATTATATTATCTTGGAGGCTGGATTTTTTTTATAGTCAATTGACTTAATAGTTAATACATCAATGTATTGATGTACTGCTAATTCTATATTTGTATTTTATTTTATTGTAACTGTTAAGTTATCATAGTTGTATACTAGTGGCTTAAAAGAATATGTATATTAACGCAACCTATAAAATATCAAACTATTATTTAGTCATAGATTTGTATTAATTTTATACACGTTTTCAACTATTTTGCGAGTATTGTATTGTATTTTATTTTTTTATTCAAATGTTATCTAAATATTATAATTTTATAACCTGGGTAGGTGCAGGAGATATTTTAAACCCGTAGTTTCCAAATAATAAATTACAAATAATACCTACACTCGGAATGGTGAATATTATGTTGCATATTTATATGTAGGTACCTACATATATTTTATACTGTACGAATTCGGAATTACGATTACGACTACCTTAAACTGTTATACAAATTTAGGTGGAGTAGGTTAAGGTATATTATTTGAACACTTGAAAATAAAAATAAAATTTATATTAGTTATAGATATAGAAGGAAATTGTATTAATGAATTTCATAAACATATCGTATTAAACACTAATATGTAATATTGTAATGTACTAATATGTATAACAAACAATTATTTTTTTTAAATATTAATACAGAAAATGAGTTCATCTAAAATCTTGAATAAATAGGTAGTATTCATTGACAATAAGTTTTGTCTTTTCACAAAAAAATGATTTTGATTTAAAATAAAATGTGTAGTATATGTCTATGACCAATGTAATGACTAATGACTAATGACTAATGAGTATTGGTTGTAGGTACCTATATTTAAATATCTATAGGTTGTATTTAATATGCTTTACAATATTTTATACATTTAATATATGCTATCAAAACTATATTTTATTTGCAATCAATTTATTCAAAGTTGAATCGTTACTTTATTATTATATTTACATTTTGATTTTTTATATTTATTATTTTTAAGAATTGAAAATAAATAAGCGTGTTGACACATATACAAAACTAATGTTTAATGTTTATAATTAATGTTCTAAAATGGTAGTGACTAGTGAGTATAGTTTTAAAAACGATTAATATAAATATTTTATAATTTTATAATATTATTCTTGTGCACAAGCGTTTAAGTCTTGTAATGTAGATTTAGTATTTACCAACAGGGTTTAATTAAAATTTAAAATATTAATCAGAACAATAATAATAAACAATAGCAATGACAAAATTTAAATGATTTTAAATTTTAAGATTATAATTAAAACTCATAAAAACACAAACTAATCATAATTATATTAAATAAATTAACATTTAAGGAACGATAACTTTAAAAAATAAGTATAGAAACCTTCCCATCATAACCACATAATATAATAATAATATAATGTTATTGTTAGATATATACCTAATTGAACATTATACGTTATTTTTCTCATTTGATTTTTAACTAATTATTTAGTAACATTATCTTAACTTAAAATTATAATAATATCGTAAGTATATAATAGTAAATATTTACCGAAATTCTTGATAGTTTTGAAATCATAACGTCTTGATTTTAATGTATAGCACATTGACCTGATGACACATTCGAGTCCGGCACTCTACTGACCCAGACTGAGCCCCACCGAACTTGACTCATGAATCGTGGATCCTGCCTTCCTAACAACAGCTATCATATTCACTAAAGAGTAGGTAATACCTACTACGCACTGCCAAGTAAGCGCGTTCACATCGTGACGTAAAAAATACGAATTGAACGCATTGTAATCACAACATATCACTACTTTACCAATAATATAAAAAATTGTATACCTACATCTATTTAGACATTAGCATTGGTATAATAATCATCGTGTTTGTATAGTTCTATATACCTAGTTCAAAACGTGTACGACCTATATGTATTCCGAACTATATTGAAGATATAGTAGGTACCTTTTAAAGTTCTATAACCAGCTATATCTACTCTCAATATTGTCTAAAAAGTTAAGACTATAAGGTTGACAAGAATATTCTTAAGCAAAATAATAATAATTTTTGATTCACAATAATAATATTTAATAATATTTATTGTGTATATTGATTAAACAAATACAAATCTATAATATAAATTCGCATTTCATATTTAAACAACGCTTGTACCTACCTATTAGCCGTCCTGGATGGAGTTGTTGAGTTTTTGAATTCAAAATTATTTATTATAGGGTAAAATAGTAAACAATTGATAAAATGTACAATGTTGTCATTTCCAAATATAAGTAGGTATATAGGTAGTTTAAAATTATGTATGATATGCACGAGGATCAAAATATGTACCTACCGTAAAATGAAAAAAAAATTAAATATTGTAATAATTATTGTTTTTTTGCAAAATAATAATAAATAAATAAATAAAGCAGGTAATATGCACAAAGCTCTCAATACAATTTCAAAATATATGGATAGGTAGGTAAAAAAAAGTATTGTTTAAATCATTAATAAAATATAATTTTTAAAGGGGTTTGTTTAAAAGGTCAAAAGGTTCTTTTTGAAATAATTAATATTTATTCATATAGTTAGGTACTATATAAAGTGAGATAGCATGGTTTATACAGCTTGTAACTTCGTTATAATTTTGTATAGGTATCTATATATATAATATAGTATTAGGTATTATAATTTTTAATAATTTAATAATATATTATCAATATAGTATATAGTTTATTATTATTAGAGACTAGAGTATATTGTCCTCTTAAATGTTTCATATATATAAATAGATAGTATACATGTATGGCCGTGATTCATTAACAATACCTATATTACCTTTACATGTGTTATTATTCATAATATTTAATGTTTGAGTATTATAATAAACCCATAATCTAAATAATTAATTAATAAGGTGTGAAATGTAATATATAGGTACATTTATAGCCTATAGGTGTAAAATAAATTAATAAAGTAGTACTAAAAACCATGTTATGGTTGTATAATGTATATTTGTGCCTAAATACATTATTAAATTACTTTAGAATCCAAAATGGGGTATCTGTTTATAGTATTAATGCAAAACTGCTAGTACACATTTATACTTAGTTTAATCATTTTTCTGATTAGAAAGTATAACTAATTTTTTAAACAAAGCATCAATTTCTCACGTAATAGACGTATAATTAAGTTTTAATAATTCTCTATAGGTATAACATTTATTTAGATACGAAAATAAATGTATACAAATTACAAATAGTTATATTTATGTTTTCAATTTAGAACAAAAAAATTATACTATCCATTTAATTATTAAATACACCAATAATATATTAATATATTATGCATCGTACAATTTCTATTTATTATCTTTTCGTTTTATACAATTTATACGCTTCTTTTGTATAACTGTATAAAATCACTAATAAATTATGGTTAGTATTTTCTAAATAATAGGTAATAAAAAAAGTTTCTTTTTAAATTTAGCTGTACAATAGGAACTAATATAGTAGTAAACATAATCATTCAATAATTTTGCCTTTAAATGTAATTTTGTTACGTATTTAATTATATATTACACTCGACATTCCTGCATACTGACCCAGATAGGATGTAGGAAGTATCGAGAATGGTTGAGGTAATGACCCGATTTTCTTCCTTAACCACTACAACTTTTTTAGTTCATGTAGTAGGTAGGTACGCGCGTCGAGGCTAACAGATGTCATATTGTTTTTTATTTTTTAATACCTACCTGTAGACTTCTGTATTAGAAACATAATCTGTTTAGGATCCAGTTAAATCATTAATACTCACACTAGGCTTAAAAATTCTTAATTCTTCATAGTACCTATAATTGTATAATGTATATCTGAAGGTATTACAAAATATAATTTCGAGATAGGTATATTATTTAAAAAAAAATAATTAAATTTAATAATATTATATTATATTTAGCCGTATATAGGTGTAATATCTGTACCTAGACTTTAGTAGACTATAGATACACTGGTACCTATATAATGTCAAAACCAATAGGGATATTATAATACATGGGCGACAAGCACATAGCTATAATATATAAGATTTAATCTATTCTGTGATAGAACCTACTAATAATTATATTTTTCTTTTTAGTTGACATACAAAATCTTAAAGTATAAGTTGAAATAGGTAGCAATTTGAAAATCCAATCGATTGTTATAGGTAGTAATGTAGTATACTAAACAATGGTTTAATCTAAAATAAAATTTTTTTTTTCAGTTAGTGTTTTATACTTTTATTACATATTAATATATTTAGGAACACGCGTAATACGTGAATGGTGAATGCCATGATTAATCAATTTGTTCGATAATAAATTATAAGACAATTGGTGTGTATGTTATAGTTGTACCTTTATACATAATAAAAAATAATACTAGTTAAACGTACCTATATGACAAAAATCATGAAAATTATAGGGATTATGGTCTATGGATGATGAATAATTTGAGATTGACTTTTGTCTGATAATTCCAAGAAAGAATAGGTTAAAAAAATGTTTATTATCAAAAAAAATAAATACCTACCTATATAAAATTGTATACTTAGTGGCGCCCAAGATATATTCTTCTAGTGTAGCAAGAAAAAATTTTACCCACCCACCCAACCCCTCACAAACTCAAAATTATATTATTTTATACATTTTATCATATTTAAATTGATAATATTAGTAAATATTAAGGTATCAACCAAAATAATCTGTGATTAATTATGAATATATTTCAAGTTGATTATTTTATGTTATTTAGTTATTATACCCACCCACCCCTTATTTTCAAAGTGTAGCGATTGCTACACCTAGTAATAGGATTGGGCGCCACTGTAATAAATAAAGTATACTCTATACGTCTCTACTTGTAAGTTGTAACACAAGCTTCTATAAATTATGAATAGATTTTTCTTTTGATTACAACAAAAGTTATTTTATTTGTCAGGTCATTCTGTTATACCTTCAACCTTGTATTATAGTATATTAAAAATAAATATTACATTTTGTAAGAATGTTGAGTGCCTACTGCCTGCAGGCAGCTAGCAGGTGGCCAGGTGGGTTAGTTCTTGGTATTAGTATTAAATATTTAGTAAAATTCAATAGGGAAATATACACTTTGTTATTTCATTTTTAATGAATAAGAAAAAATAAGAATAGGTATATGAGATTATATTATAATAAAATGATTACCTATTGAACATATTATATTATTATAGTATTAACTATTAACCATCAATGTAAAATAAACTTATTTTAAACTTTACCTAGACCTTAACAGGGCAATTAATCAAGCATATTATGCTAATTGCTCATACTCATTTTATAGATTCTTAGCGGAAAAATGCATAAAGCATTCATGCGTGTTTTTTAATCCGTGTAGGTAAGTACACGTAACACGTTTTATAGTTGTAAGAATGATTAGAACTTGAACTTCAAGGGTGGTTTCTGGTAGCAAGTTTGATTTAGTTGGTATCTACTATTCACCACCTGTCTCCAGCTGACTATACCTAGGCAGGTACCTACCTACTTTTGGGTAAATCCACAAAAAATTGACTGAAACAACGAGAATTCTTACACTAAACCAGTTATTAACAAAATTAAACATTTTAATAACTCAGAAACCACTTGTTTAAATTTCGATTTAGATAGATCAACATTTTCAAAAAAAAAAATCATTTGCTTAATAAGTTACAGTAAAAAAGGTCGGTCTCATTTGAAAAAAAGATGGACACTCCTTAAATGGTATATAAATTCTAAATAATTTAAAATATGCTTCTCAAGTAAGTATATGTTATACCTACCTATTCAAAAATGTTAAAAATCGGAATTTAAATAATTTATTTATAAAGAAAAAAATTCGAGTTGGTATTATATAATATGCTTGTTAAATCACCTTGTCTAAATTATATTATAGGCTTATTAAATATCAAAATAAATAATATAAAATCTATTATTTTAATAAACATGACGTGTGAATTTCCGAATAAAAAGTTTGGATTAATTAATTGACAATTTTACGTTTCTTCGAAAATAAATTTTGTAAATCTTCGTGATGCCCATACCAGTGGCGTAATTAGGAATTTGGTTTGAGGGGGGGATATAATTGGTAAAACTGGTAGCAACCCCTTTAGCAAACATGAATGATGGTCATTATCAATACTTTGATCAAAATTTTAGCAGTAAAAAAAAAAGATTTGGGGGGGATCTATCCCCCTAATTACGCCCCTGGCCCATACATAATACATATACTGAAATAGATTAACCATTTACATAATTACATTATATATTATATATGTATAATTTAGGTATCTATAATACAAGTACCTACACAAATGCATGTGTTTGTGTATTAATATGCTGTTGACAGCAGTTTTGCCAGAAAGTAATAGGTTTATTGAAATTAAATTAAAATAACTACTTTCTTTCATATCGTTTATTTTTAATGATGTAATTCATAATTGATTAAAATATGCTTTTAATTAATATGATCAACAGGTATATATTTTTTTACAAGTATTACATCATAAACGTATTTTTACATT